ATAAAGGACTGGTTATTCATCCCATCAAATAACTCATCATACTGAGAAGCATTAATAATTCGTACCTCCTTGCAACCATTAGCTATGTCACGAAACATTGCTTCAGAAAATGAAAGAAAACGTTTCAGGTCATTAATGTGCTTCTTGATATCATTTTGTGGATTAGGACTGTCCTTAGTACCAACAGAATGAGCTATAAGCAAAATTATTTTTGTTATTAATATAATATCACAATATACCTAATAATTCTTTTAATGATCTGTTAATTTTAATTTTCATTGGCTCCAGTAATCCTTTCAATGGTATAGCATACTTCAGTACATGAACAGTATCAGGACGACTGCTGTCAGCATAAATTGATACCAAACAAGATGGAGGAATTGTATTATTAATTTCGGAACCAAATTTATTTATTTCTCTTTCTTTAATCTAAACATGTTTTTAAACAACATCTTGATGTTACATATATGTACCTGACAAGGTTCAATTTCTGGACTAACAGTCCAGCCAGTTATTGATTCATCCTGAGGACCAAACACTAGCTCAAGGCATCCAAAAGGAGAATCAAATTGAAAACTGAAAGCTTGCCCACTAATTTCTAGTTTATGATATTCTTTTTTAATAAACTACAATAAATTTAATAATGACAATAACATTAAATAAAATACATAACTACCTGAACTAGAGCATTCAAATCTTTAGCAGCTGCAAATCTCATTTTATCTGCTCGTTCATAAAACACTTGTCCATAATATATTGTAGCTTCACAAATACCAGTTGAATGAGTAGGTACAACTATAAGAAACAAAAACAGAAACTCATGGCTGATCCTCAATATACTGCTCACCTTTTTTCTCCTGTAATAATTTTTGTCCTACCCTTCCTTCATCATCATGCTCTTTTTTCTCATGATTGTTCTGTTCTTGGCTTAATCGACCCTCTACTTGTCTTTTGTCTTCTTCTTTTTGCTGCTGACGCTCAGCTCCTACTCCTCCTCCTGCTCCTTCTCCTGCTCCTCCTTCTTCTCTTCCAGCTCCTTGTCCCTCTCCTCCTGTTGTCTGTCCCTTTCCTTTCCCTCCCTCATCTCCTGAGTCTCCATCTTCCTCTCCATTCCTCTCCTCATTCCTACCTCCTCCATTTTCCTCTTCTTCCTTCCCAACAATAGCTAATTGACAGAAATTGCTTCGCTCAATGGATCCATATCTCTGGTTTGCTGGAAACTTCCCTCCTTCAATTAGTAAAAACTGGTAAGGAAGACTAGCTGTGTGAACTGGAGCAACAGCAAATTTAAGATACTTGGATAAAGAAGGATCACTGAGATCAATACAGTGTTGCATTTCTATCCTCAGTGACTTGAGGAGTGGACTGGTTGATATTGCATACACTGCACTGACTAGTCTAGTATTATCAGGAAACCTATAAAGGAATTAATAATTAAAGTACATGTACATATAATTATTGTATAATAGTGGGTGATTTTTGTCAGGTAAAATTATTGTTATTTCATGCATCAAAAATTAAATTTTAGCAGACAAAATTTTGCCATAATCATTATTTAATTGTTCTAATTGTTAGAGAGCAAAATTTAATTCATAAAGCAGTAATATTTTCTTTACTATAGGCACAGAAAAACAAAATCAATAATAATGTTTTCCCTGACAATAATTCCCCACTAACTATACAGTAATTACTACATGTACAGTATATGTACTTGAAGTGTCCTCCTACAAGAGCTAGTACTGATACTTCTACAGTCTCTGATGCTAATAGACTATCCTCTGGTACACTAATCCTCAGTCCATACTCCTCCCAGTTC